TTTACCAAGTTACATATTTTTTTCTCCTATAATTGAGAGTGCTATTGGGCTTTCCTATTTCTGAAGCAAAATAAAACTGCCTTGAGTGTATTTGATAAAATAATTTGCTTAAGATAAATGCTGATTTTTTTAAAGCCAAAACAAAGGGCTACTTGAGTATGGCATGTAGTTTAAAATACATATTGCTAGAAAGAATTTCCTGGTCTTATTTTTAGCATCCCAAGAAGAAAAAAGAAAACAACGTTGCCAATATTAAAGAAGAAACAAAATTGTTTTACTTTCTTTTTGATAACTCTCATGTACATTCTTTTCATTAATTCTTATATGGCCACAACCACATTTAAAACGGACATATCAGCTCTAGAAACCTTGACAGCTGTCAAGGACAAGATAGATATAGCTAGGTATGATTTTTTTCTAAAATGAACATTGTATTTCTGGCATGGACTCTAGCTAAGTTAGAGATTGCTGCATAGCCTTCTGAAGCAATAACTTACAAATAGAACTCCAGGAAAGAGTTATATAAGACTTGTGTCATTATCATAATCCCACCAATTTCAATATATTTATTTGATGACCAAATCTTTGCACAAATTAACAGGCTTTTCAGAGATTTTCACTGAACTTTAGTTGGATAAGCATCAATTTGATTTTGTGCAGTTTAACTGTCATGAGTTGCAATGTCTACAAGTGTCCCATTTTCCCTAGAAGAGTAGAGATACACTGAAGATTTAAACCAATCTTACCATTTTTTCTTTCCAGATTTAGTGAAGAATTCAAGGATTCTCGCATAATTCTCAAGAATTAGGATATTTACAAAAATGTAATTTCTAGAGTACTTGTGGGAAAACGTAACTCTTTGGCTACATCCTTGAACACATTTAGATCAGAGTAAAATTAAATACACATACACACGGGATGGATAGATATAAACCATTGTTGCCTGAGTCATATACAGCACCAGGCAATAAACAATGGTTTTTTTCACAAATGAAAGCAAATATATGTGTCCCAGGATAATGTTGCAGGATCCAATCTGGGTCAGTCACCGAAATCAGAGGTTCTGTCTTTGGAGCTTTTGGATTCATGCCAGAGCCCATCCTCAGGGGACATCTGTCTACTGGAATGTGTAGAGAGAATTCCAGTAGAGAGATGTCCCCTGAGGATGGGCTCTAGCATGAATCTGAAAGCTCAGAAGACTAAACCTTTGGTTCTGGTGACTGACCTAGATTGGATCCTGCAATGTCTTTTTCATAATGTATGTCTCACCAATCCAAACATACCATGATTTTATATAATATGATAAAAAAATCAGATTCCTTAGAGCAGGGGTCTGCAACCTTGTCAACTTTAAGACTTGTGGACTTCAGCACAGCTGGCTGAGGAATTCTGGGAGCTGAAGTCCACAAGTCTTAAAGTTGTCAAGGTTGCAGACCCCTGCCTTAGAGCAATGCTTCCCAAACCTGGGTAAGTTACCCCAAATTGGGTAAAATTGGTTTTCCTTTGCTTCATGACACAAGAACCATTACCCAATCACAATCAGGGCATTTAAATTGACTTAAAGTGCTTTATCTACATTGGGTAAAAAAGACTTTCTGATAAACAGTTTGGGGTAATGAAGGAAAACTTTGAAAATCATTATCTTAGAGCTTAATGGATTTAACAATGATCCGTGTATCTATCATAAATGGGAAGAGATATAGTCCCAGCCTGTGTGGTTTGTTAATGCTTAATATGATGTGCAAGCCTAGCCAAGTATATTTTATGCAATAAATCTTGGTTAAATGAATCATGGCTTAGTGCTATGTGTGAAGCAGCTCAGTATTTTTCAGTGTGGAGATGGTCTTCATTTTTCAACAGATTAGATCATGAGGCCAAATATAGCTTCTCAAATAAACAACTACTTAGGTTATCCATCTTCCTGCGACATTTTAATAGGAAGCATCACAGCCAGCTAGACCATTTTTCTTCTTGACAGCAAAGTTGGCAATCCACATTTTGAGAAGCGATTCCTTCCCATGGAAGTTGGAAAACAACCTTCCAGAGCATATAGGAAGTTTTTGGTTAAGAACATACTGTACATATAACAATTATTTTTCTCATTAGTGTTTTGGAAACTGAATAATTAAAACAATATATCCATTCCAACATACGGCGCTGTAAAAGTTAACTTAAAAAGCAAGATATTTCCATTTTGTGGCTTCATTCTCCTGGGAAACGAGTGCCATGAGTATCAGATCATCTCATTTCTTTTTCATACATATTGTTGTATATCATGGTGGCATTGTATGTTGTTTGTCATTCATACAGCTCTGGAATAGTTTCCGCTGAGTCCCCCAACTATCTCCTCTCATTGAGTCACAACTGAGCCCATGTATGTCACTCGGCTATCCTGCCACATAAAGGGAGGCTTATTCCTATTTAATTCCAGCTTTATCTAAGGACATATTTTAGAGGATACACAAAAGCTCATTAAGATCCATCCGTGCAGCTTACCACTCGGGAATAAAAGTTATAAACTAATTGACAAAGTTGCACAAGAATTAGCTGAATAAACAGTGAACTTTTAAGTAAGTACATACTTTGTTTCCAAAGAACAAACTAATCTTTAATCCTTGCCTCTTTAGTTAACAAGTATTTGTTCCTTTTCCTGTTTGCTCCATGTTGTTCTTTTCCTGCATTTATCTTTGTTATAAACTTCAAGAAATTGCTGTCATATTCAAGTTGGAAAAGATGCCAGAGGAGGAAATCAGATCATCCTCACTGGTGCTAAGCTATTTTGTTGACGCTTATATCCCAATGTTCCCTTAGGTCGGCAAAGAAATCGGAATCCATAGCATCTGAATTATATGTAACCCTTCCTCATGTTTGCATACCACACTGGTGAATTTTAGTAACAGAACCCATATCTGTTGACCTCACATTTTGGTTCTTTTAAAACTTTGCCTTAAATTTGTGAGGTTGGATACACCCATGTCCCTTTAAACATGCCATTCCATTCCATCCCAGTCCTCCACCCTTCCCGGTGGAAAAAGGTGATAATTTCATCCCCACTTCTCTGGAAATGTGAGTTCCATGTGGCAAAGCGGCAGAATAATAACACGCTTCTTAGACTACATGTCATGCTTCTTGGCCATTATATACTGTTTTTCAGATCCCTGAAAAAGAGTTCTCCCTTTTAAAAGATGGGAAGGGAGATAGGTGTTTCTTGTAGTTTGCAATATTCATATAATATCTACAATGACTAGCATTTTTATCTTGTCAAAATAAGCAAGTAAATTGACAGATTAGTTCACTTATGAAATATATTTTACATGACTCAACAAAAGTTGCTGGATTGCACTATGTAAGTTAAACTGATCACAACTAACATGGCAATCATACATTTTATTAGAAATAAACCTATTGAAATGTGGACATTATTTATTATTAAAAGCAAGACATAGTTGTGTGCCCATTCTGTTATTTCAGAGGAACAGTCTCAAAAGTAGATCCTATGAATCCACTGGGAAATGCTTCCTGGAACACATCTGTTAAGATGTTTTTTAAATTCAACAAGCTGTTAGATTTGTATCGTATAGTTCTGGTTGCTTTTTGATGGGACTTGCTCTCATGTAAAGTAAGTCAGATCCCTCTTAAAACTTCATTTCCACTAGTCTGAACTATGAATTATACTAAGAAGATCCAATAGGAGTGTGAAATGGCTTAACAAAGCTGATATTTATTTTAATCCTTTTCACCCTTCAAAAAATACACATCCACACAATTGCAACTGCTATGATACATTTTGTAGAAAAACAAAAACTTTACAGTGTTTGTTGGTAGCTACAAGGGGAATGTTTAGCTTTCAATGTTTGGAAGATAAAGCTCTTTTCCACTGGGACCTTGTTTTGAAGCTGCTTGTATTCAATACTGAAAAAGCAATAGAAATATCTGCTGTGGTAATTATTGCAAGGTCTGTTTCAGTGCTGAATGGAGGCCAAGGAACAGATTCCTGTGTAAGAACTGAAACTGAGCAGAAAAAGAACAGCGGGGCTCAGAAGGAACAACATCAGATTAACTAAATTCACCCATGGAAACTTTCCTTCCTTGGAACTGACTTTGTTAGCAGTGCATACATATTTTCTGGGATTCCCAGCTCTTTGCCCATGCGTAGGTCAAAAGCAGGTGGTGGAAATTAGAAACAGAACAAACGCCCTCTTGCTGCTTGGCACTTAATGTTCTAGCATTAAAGGTAATGATTTATATTATTTTATAAAATAACAAAAAAGCATCACCTATTGGTTTAGTGCTCAAACCTATGGGAGAGAGGCAGAAAATGGTCCTTGGAGGTTGGCTAAATTAATCATGATTTAGACAAGTTTAAAGAATGAATAAATCAACCCCATTATGGGCACATGCACGTCTGCATTTCATAAACAGTGAGTGGAATTGGGATTACATACCAGCATAGAAGTAGGTCTAAACTTATGGGTATATACATCTTTTGCTTTATATTGAGTCTCAGGAATTTGGAGAAAATCTTGTAGTCAATCCTATAAACTGGCAGTCTTGTTCAATCATAAAATTAAAGTCACAGATAATACAATAGATTAAAAAGCACCAGTTCACTAGAATGCCTCTACTACCCCATCTCTACCTTTCTTTTTTTTCTAGGTAGGTGAACATACTCCAAAACAAAGCAAGGAGCTGCGCCTCAACTGAACAGGATCCATCTAGAATGTAGAGGCATCCGTGGAAATAACTGTGTTGCTAGTGGTGTATTCCCTAACTCTAACCTTTCCTGCTTTTAAAGTTTTTTAGATGTTAGACTTCAAATGGAACCTGAAATTTGACAGGTACCACACCAAAGAAAATAAAAGGTTTATTAGGCACATTGGTGCTTTTATATGCCACAGTATGGATCAGGTTCTGGAGTCAAAGCAAAATGTATACAAATCGACATTAATATAAATGACTGCAAACTTCATCATCTGGTTCTTGATGCGCACCATGTAACCTCAGGTAAGTCAGCTTTAAGCAGATTTTAACCATCAAAGATTTTCTCTAAAGAATCATGAAGAGTATTTTCAGAATTCCAGTAATTCTTAGCAATCCTTAGTCTCCTTTTATGGAAGTATCAGGTTATTTGTTTAGATGAATAAATTTGGATCTTACTTTATAATACAAGTATGACGCACTGTATGGGATTCAATTTGGACAGTGGGTCCTTTATGCTGTGTTTAATCAAGAAGGAGATTAACGCAATACGGAGTTATAGGGGGACTATTTTAACTGCTGTAGCAAGACTATTTTAATAAAGAGATTTGGGGATATCAGAAGGACAAACAGATTGTTTTGCCACAAACATTTTATTGTCTGCACTCCACATCATCAGATGCAGGAAGTGATTCTCAGCCGGCTTGACAGCTTATACTATAATAAATCTGCCACAAAACTTTCTGCTGTTAAAAGTTGTCCACATTTCAGGGCTATATCTTAAATACTACCTATTGCAAACCAGTGGAAACATACTTTGTACCACATTTCTCTATAAAACAATGCAAACGGCTTTCCTCAATTTAGGAAATGTGTTTTTTACATCTTTATTTCACTCACTGACAATATGCGTTTTCCAACTTGATTTGGAAAATCAAATATTTGTAAGGAAAAAATGTGAAACAATGATAACAGGTGATGTTTACAGCAATTCCAAGATGGCTTCTTGTCATTCCCAGGGAAACCAGTGTTTGATTCCAGAAGGGATTTCTTGGAGCCTGTCAGCTGGCAGAGTGGGTGAATGTCAAATGTTAACACTTTGACATATCTGGAGTCCAGCATGTCATAAAATGACTTAGGTTTGAATTAATTTCAGCCACCTGCCACCATGAAAATGGCTTGATGTTCATAGACACAGCAAAAGATTTGATCAGTTCCTGGGTGTTGTTTTCACTATTCTTCCTAATTTCTCTGTACTGTGTTATAAATCTGGTGCCAGCAGAACTGTGTATTTCATGTTTTCATATGATGTACAGATTAATAGTGGCACTGAGTGACTGCAACCAAATAGCCGCCACATGTATAACTATGCAGGAAGAGGAAGCTTTAATTTTGCACAGTGCATCAAACAATATTTGTCAGCAGGAGGGACAAACAATCTGACAACTGATGGAAATGCAGATATATATAAATAGCAGGGTGCTCCTAGCAGGCACCTGGAATTTTAAAGTTTGTACAGCCAGTACTGAAAGCTCCAAGAGATCATGCAGGGATACACTACCCCCGGACCCAAAGAAATGAGAATTCCCTGTCAGATTTTCTAAATGAATTAGTTAAGCACTGGTGCCCTGGCTTTCAAGCATCCTAAAGGGAACAGCTGCCCGCACAGCAGGGTTTCCTCTTGGCAGTTTGCTGCCTAATTATTTGGTATTTTTACTGTGCCTTCCAAGTGTACAGAGTATGTGCTGTTTGGGTGGAGAAATACTGCAGGCTTGCATTGCTAGTCTTGGATCTCCAGTTTCTCTGTGCATCAGTTGAGTGCCCTAATGCAAGAAATGAATGAATCCAAATCTTGAGTGTATGGATCATGCTGAAGGATGGATCTGCTTTTGGGGCATCTCAGATCCAGGTGCAATGTTTGGCTTATTCATCATTTGACTGTATGAAGCACCTGGCTCAGGTACACCTGTCGTCTTCTCACTTCTTGATCCAATTGCTCTTTCAGAGAATTCACCTGCAAAAACATAAGCACAGCAAAAGATAAATACGGATAGATAATTTAATTCAGAGTTCTGACTTGAACTGCAACCAGTATCAGGGTCATCAGAGCAGCCTAAAGAATTTTTGGGACAAATCATCCTTCTTGCTACATTCTTCTAGTACTTAAAGTTTTCTGATTTTGACCTCACAAGCCCAGTAAGTATTAAAGCTGAGACATAGCAACTAGGCCATAGTTACTATGAGTCTTCATGACCATAATGAGAATTTAGATTCAGTTCTCACTTGTCTAAACCAATGCTTCATCTTCACATTAGTTCAGTTTCCAGAAATCAAAGTTGTAGGGATAGCATAAGCACTATCTTCAATTGTTTTAATTAACATCCTTAATTGTTTTTTACAGCTTCATTCCATCCCTTTCTTTGCTTCTAAAAACATGTTTTAAGAATATGAGAGCTTCAGATAGGAAATTATAGTAAGAAAAAAAATCATATTGATTTACATATAGTCCTGATGTGAAAGATTCTCCTATTTGGCTTTAATTATGATTAGGAGGCAATGCTGATCAAATGCTGCATGATCAAGATAAAAAAAGGTGGTATAAATTCAGTTTTGGATTTACTGTAGTACAATGTGGGAGGAAATCTTATACCTTTTCTTTTTGGGGGAAATGGTTCAAGTACTGCGAATATTAAAATACTCACAAACTTTCTTAATGCCAGTACATTGATGCTTCTGGTTTAGGATCGCCAAACAAAATCACATCAAGTACAGTTACAGTTCCTATTATAAGAAATTCTTGTGCTGAGCATAGATGAAAATTGAACTTTGCACCCCTCCATCAATTGTCTTATTTTATTCATCTCCTTCCTGATATTATCCTGGTAGCCTTCACTTATCTCATAGATTGACTGGGTTCTTTATGTGCATTCATAAACTATAACACGGTTTGCTTGATTTTGGCTTAAGTTCATGTGTAAATCCAGCCATTGTGGTTTTATGACAATATTTGGCATAAACTAAGCCACTATGACATGTTCCAGTCATGATGAAGACAAAAATGAATTAGAAGAATAAGTTTTGCTCATTGGACTGAAGCTTGTTTAGCCAAAGGTAATTGAATAAACTACAATCATCCATCCATCCGTTACACTAATAGGATTTCCTAAACTCATATACTTAAAAGAGTTTTATTATTCATCTAGAAAATCCAATGGACAGAATGATTTTTTCTGTCCTGCTTTAAGATTTTTGGCCTGATGTTCATTCACAGAGGAACTTGGAAGAAGCAACAAACTTTTTTCTCCTTGATGTCTTCACTATTTTGCCTTTAAACAAACCAAATCCTCAGAATTTTCTTCATTCTTTCAACCACCATCCCAACTCATAGAACCACAGGAAGTTTATATAAATCTTTCAGTGTGCATGTCAGTATTCTATTTAAAGATTTTAGACATCAATAGAATAAGGATTATTAAGAAAAAGATACTCAGTCTACACATATATTGTACCTGTTCTTCCAAATTTTTCACCCTTTGCCGATGGGTTCTTTCCTGGGATTGCAATGTCCGTTCAGTTTGGAGCTGAGCACTGCGTAGTCTTTCTGCTTCTAGTTCCATGTCTAGCTGATGCTGTGATGTCAGTTCCATTAGTTGCTGGGCATGTGTTTGTTCCAGCTCTGCAATCTGAACCTAGAATAAGTGCACAAAAATAATACCTACCTTCATGGGGGCTGTGATGTTGAACATATTAGTAAAGTGGGCTTCTAGAGTTTCATAACTGCAGGGGTTAGCAATGTTTTTGTTGTTGAAGGTCGCATGTCCTCAGAGATAGCAACAGCAAGAGGATTTGGACTTATACACCACTTCACAGTGCTTCACAACAATCTCTAGATGGCTTACAATGTTGCCCCCAACAATCAGGGCCTCATTTTACCGACCTTGAAAGGATGGAAGGCTGAATCAACCTTGAGCCTGCCAGGATCGAACTCCAGACTGTGGACAGAGTTTGGCTGCAATCCTGCATTCTAACCACTGTGCCACAAGGTACAGGTAGTCCTCGACTTAGGGCCACAATTGACCCGAACATTTCTGTTATGCGAGACATTTGTTAAGTGAATTTTGCTCCATTTTATGACTTTTCTTGTCCCAGTTGTTAAGCGAATCACAGCAGTTGTTAAGTTAGTAACAAAGTTCTTAAATAATCTGGTTTCCCCATTTACTTTGCTTGTCAGGTCACAAAAGGTGATCACATGATCCCCCTCCCCCGGGACACTGAAACTGTCATAAATATGAACCAGTTGCCAAGCATCTGAATTTTGATCATGTGACCATGGGGATGCTGCAAAGGTCATAAGTATGAAAAACTGTCGTAAGTCACTTTTTTCAGTGCCACTGTAACCTAGAACAGTCACTAAACAAACTGCTGTAAGTTGAGAACTACCTGTACTCTGTTAACATGATAGCCTGACCTGAAGCAAGTGGCGGGTAGGGCTAAAGGATTTTTTTTTGTCTCTGATAATCCCGTTTCTTTTTTCTGATTCTTCTCCTTTTTTCTCAAATGATTTTTTTTTCTTTCTTGCAGGCAGCAGGTAAGGGACAGGGCATGTTCACCATGAGCCTAAACTGGTCTCTTGTGGCAGAAGAAGACCTACATTAATAGGTATTGTATTTCCTTCTCTCAGTTATCTACATGGCTGGATTTTGTAATCTGTGTCTCTTCCAGGTCAGATCTTAGTGCATTTGGAGAACAAATGGAAAATAGACAAGAAAAAAGCATAACTGGAACTTGTTTAGCTGGTTTCCTCTTGCCATTCAGTAATTCCCCACAATGTATATTATTCTCCCCCAAATATTCCTCAAAGCACCCAGACAATTCTTTGCTTGCCAGTTGCTCATAAATTTCATTTCACCCTGTCTTTATAACGTGGTTTATAATAATTAGAGAAATTATTTCTTCTCTTCTGCAGTAGAATATGATCCATGACCTTTTAAAGAAATTGAATGTTAAGTATGAGCTTTGGCTGCTTTCTCCTCTAATTATTGTGCTTGAAGCGACTGTGAAGAGGTGATAAAAAGTAAACTATGCTGTTCATCAACACACCAGCCAAAGGGTGGATGGGCTGTTAGAACAAGGTATAAGTTTCTCAGACTAGCAAATAAGAATGCAGAAGTACACATAATATTTTTATTTTACAAAGCTCTCTATAGCACCACTTTATGAATAATTAATCTGTCCAGTAATCTCTAGATTCAATAAGTCCAACAAACCTGCAGGTGTTCATTTTGCATCATGATGTCTTCCATGTCCTGCTGTAGGCTACTCACAGATAGATCCAGCTGCCCTCTCATCTGACTGAGTCTAAAAGTATCATCTTCTTTCCCAAACTTCTCATGCTCTGCCTGCAAAAAAGACACCAAAATCCCTTATTCAAAGATAATGCTAAATTATTAATTATTTGGTTCTTGTTCAGTACAATCTGTGAACACCATTTTGAGGTACTGTTTATGAACCATAATTTGAGGCTTAACATTGGTGTGAATCAAACCGACTGAGCATGGTTGAACCCAATATCTGTATTCACTATGTGCTGTTTTCACATGCTGTAGCTTTATTTTGGCATTGATCATAACACATGCAATTCCATTTTGCTTGTTTCTGTTTTAATAATATAGTCTCTAGTATACAAGAATTATTTTCCATCAGGTTTTTAATGGTCATAATTGGTTCTGTTCATCCATCTCATTTTTCTTTCACTGCATATTGGGGGAATGTTAGATGCAAGTGTGATAGTGGATTGAGCACTCAAGGTACAAAGATAGGATGACATGTAGGAAGTATGGATGGTTTATGTTCAATAGTGAGGAGAAGCAGGGAAAGAGGATAACATTTGCAGGTGCTGTGAAAATAGGCAACATGGTGGTCATGACATCATTAAGAAGCACCGTTCCTTTAGTACAGGGATGTCAAACTCGCGACATCACGTGACGTCGCACAACGTATCGGGCCGGTTTTGCCATTGCCGGCAATGGGGTAGGCGTGGCTTCAGTATGATGAAACCGGCCCGTGGGCCGGCAGTTTGACACCCCTGCTTTAGTACATTTATCAACATTGTGTGTATATATAAATGGGCAGGACTTGAATATGATACCACAACTGTCACCTTTCCTGTTTTGACCCTCTCTGTGGATATTGCTGCATGAATGAGAAAGATAATTCAGATTCAGTTACCATGGAGTTCTTAGTAGTCCCTGAGCTTGGTTGTTTGCTATTTCATTACCCAACTAGGTAACATCATCAGTGCAAGTGGGTGTGGGGTTTGCTGCCTGTTTATACACAGTAGCTTGCCCTGCCAGTTTTGGTATTGGTGTAGTTTCTTCCTTAATGGTTTCTTGATTATTGTTTTCTGTCTGATTGTTCTATGTTGATCCCTGCTATTTGAATGTTGGCAATGGAGTTGTTGTGTTCTATATAAATCTATATCCCCATTTGATTTTCATCCCCTAGAAGACCTCTGATCAGGCTATCAAAATTGGCTGATCTAATTTTTTTCCTTGGATGCTGCTCCTGGTCTCCTGTTTGATGAACTTCTTTTCCCTTTAAAAGGCTGGCAGATCCCATTGAAGCATCTCATGGAACTGCTTTATCAGAATCCCTAACATTCCTAAGTGTTTTTGTCTCATCAGTGTTAGTAGCCAGGTCTATTGCTTTGTTTCATTTTAAACTTACCGTAAGTGGGGATTTTGACTCTTCTAGGGATTGTTTTACCATAAGCCGGACAGTTTATGGTAGTAAGCAAGCTTAAGAAAAGCTTACTTTTCTTAATGAGAAAAAAAGGAAAGTTTTGGAAAAAGGCCTTGTCTTTCTGTAGGATGCATTCCTTAAATCTAGATTCATATCTGTTGAGACAAGTTTAGTAAATGTAGTAAATGTAGAACAATTGTATTTGGGCTTCCAAACTTCAGAGTATTGAAGAAAAGGGAAGGGTTTTTTTTATATCTCTCTCTGCAATACTCTAATAGCTGGATTTTTGCAATACACACGATAGCTCTAATAAATCACCCAAAAGGCAGCCATACATCTACCAGTACAGATAACACCATTATAATGGAAAAGTGTGTGGCATCCTAGCTCAACCCCTATTTTTGCATTAGTTCAACCATTCTGAACAATTTCCGATGCCTTAATCCAAAGGGAGTGGGGAAAAAGAAAAAACACCCCTTCCAATTTTGCAAAATATGTCTCCCAAACTGAATAGGAGCATATAGGGAGAGAATTGAATTGGCTGTGGGTTGCAAGAGTTAATGGACGTATGCTATGCAAGATGAAAAACTTCCAAATAACAGCTTGGAGGAAGGGATCTTCTGTCTCTTTAAGCAGTGTACAGACTCACTAGAAGCAAATGTTAAATAGAGGAGAGAGAGGCAAAATCCAGAATAAATACATGGCCCAAATCCAGAATAAATAAATGGTCATATCCGGATTTCCCCTCTGGAGACATCAATAAAGGGTTTTATGAGGTTGATATGAATTACCTCCGCTGGCCTGATGTTCTGGAACTCATTAACTAGAAACTACCCTTTCTTCAGCTCAGGGAAAGAAGTTTTGCATGGGGGAATTCTGGGGCATTATACATACGGCTATTTTATGCTTGCAGAGATAAATGCTTGTAACATTATTTTGCCATAACAGAAAAATAGCACATTCGTCACCCTCTTCATTTCTCCAGCTAGAAAAATCTACCAAGAACAATAAATAATTTCCAACAAATGCCTGGCCTGACTCTTTCTATCACTTCTGGAGGGACCTGGCAGGAATTTTTTAACCCTTTCTAAGAATGCTCACAACAGCTAGAAATAGAATAATCATGGCTACAGATTTTTTTAAATAAAAATCATACACATAGAGCATAGGAAAAATCACCAGAACATATATATAATTAAGATATATAATTATGTATATAGTACACACACACTACATACATACATACACACAAAACTATGCCACTGCATTCCAGATCAGCTGCAACTTCCAAGTGGTCTTCCAGGGTATCCCTATGTAGAACAGATTACATTAATATACATGGGAAGCAACCAAAGTGCAGGAGGATCTCTTGGTTCAGTAATGGGCAGAATTGGCACACAAGACAGAGGTATGGAAAGGCCCGTCTAGCCATAGTACCTCTCAAGCAGGAGACAAGAGTCTAGAAAAATGCTCAAATTGCACACCAGCTCAACGTAGAAGAAGGTTAATCCATTCTGTGGCAAAAATAAGTCTTTGGCTGTGAGTAGTCCCAAAACCTACAGCCACTCAATCATGCCAGTGGTGAAGCTAAACCTGTTCTTCCCAATCCATGCCCTATTCTCCAGATATTTGATGCTATTACTTAATAATACTTACTATCACTGGGGCAGAGATGTAGAATGAAATGTCATTAGCATACTGATGATTCCTAATCCTCTATCTTCATATGACATCACCTAGCAGTATCAGGTAGATATTTCACAACAGAACCTTGTGAAATCTCAGATCTTACATGTTTAGACAAGGAACTAATGCTGGAGATAGGAGAAAAACCACTGCAATACTGAATCTCCCATTTTCATCTCCCTAAACCAGTCCAGAATAATACTACAATTATTCTACTACAATACTACAATTAATGGTATCAACGGCTGTAAGATATAAAGAAGAGACAAAATGAATCCACCTGCCACCATCCTGATCCCTCCAAATATTATCAGTAAGTGCAACTATTGCTGGATCAGTATGATAAACAGGCCTGAACCCTACTTCCTTTAGTGTTCTCTCAGTCTCAAAAGATATTTACAAGATATACTATGTTTCCCTGAAAATAAGACCAGGTCTTATTTTTTTTGTTTTGACCAAAAGATTCATTAGGACTTATTTTCGGAGGATGTCTGACTTTGTGGCCACCCGCTGGCTCCCTCCCACTGTCTGCTTGCCCATGGCCGCAACGGCTTATAGGGCTTCCTAGGGCAGATGCTTGGGAAGCGAGGGCAATGCCAGAGAATGCACCTTCAGGTGAGGAGGAGAGCAGCGTGGCTAGACAGGGGAAGCCGAAGGATCAGGCAGCACAAGCCTCCCCTGCCGCCTCCCTCCACCTGCCACACTCTTTCCTTTTACAAGCAGACAAAACTTCCAGTCCCCATCAATTCTCTGTTCAAGTGAAAAGTGTTTGGGTGCAAATGGGGCACTTGGAAATGGAATGAATCACTCTGTTTCCAAGTGCCCCATTTGGAAGCAGACAAAACTTCCAGTCTCTGTCATTTCTCCCTCCGGGCAAAAAGTGTTTGGGTATCTATGGGTGCTTGGTAACAGAGCGATTCACTCCGTTTCCAAGCCCCCCATAGTTGCCCAAACACTTTTTGCCCAGAGGGAGACTGGATTGGCTGCCTCCCCCCACTTCTGCACTCGGACTTACCTGCGCTGGCTTTGGCTGCTGCCAGTTTACTGCCTCCTGTGCTGGCTATGCCGACTCCCGCCCCTGGCTTATTTTTGGGGTAGTTCTTATATTAGCAGCACCCCCAAAAAAATCAGGATAGGGCTTAGTGTCTGAATGGGTCTTATTTTCGGGGAAACATGGTAGTGTAAGAATAACAGCTACTACATAGGAGGACAGGTAGAAAACCGACAGACTGTATCCATGAACATCAAATGGCTAACTCCCACAACAAGATGAAAGCTCCTTAATCTTGCAATACATGGTCAGGCTCAACATAGTTTCAACTGGGAAACTATCAAACCAAACCAAACCCGAAAAATGCTAAGAATTTCCTGGAAATTTGGCATTCAGATAAATCAGCCATCAATAGACATGTAAAAATGAATGTTATTTACATACCATTTAAAAGACACAATCAAGAGTCTAGGAAAGAAAGAAACAGCCTAGAACACATCCCCATCAGCATCCAACACCCAGATAAACATGAAGCGATATAGGGAAGTAACATTACTATTATCAAGGAACCCTAAAGGAGGAAGCCACACTCCGACCAAGACTGGTAGGGCAAGCTAATATATGGTATATAAACAACCAGGAAACCCCACTACCCCCATACTGATGATGTTAAGTAGTTGAGTCTATAAGAAAACATCCTAGCTCAGACAGCATGAAGAAACCAACTGTTAAATCCTGAGTTACATTCTTTTCTATTAGAATAAAAACTGCTAGCAGTTATGAACAGAGGACTAGAACAAGGCAGGTCTAACATTATCCGTTTGCAGAGTCAAACGTTGTCTCTGGATTTGTTCCACTTGATTTTTTTTGTTGCACAGGTTTATTGGCATTAGAGTAGGAAAATGGGACAAGAGTGATGGTAGATATAACCTTTTTTGGGAGCTGTATGTGGAATGCACAAAGGTCACTTAGAAGAAGCTCACATTAATTTCAGTGGAAGGACCTGCCGGATGGTTTGGATTATGCATTTCCATTGCTAGTGCTAATTAGGCTAATCCAAGAATGCCCTTGCTGATATCAAACACATGTGTAACAAATGAGTTCTGTGAATTTGAACCAGTGCCTTGATGCTGTATGCTAGTTACTTCTCTGAACAGACAAGGAAAGCAGATAACCTAAAGTGTAATCTGAAACTTCACTTTAAGGAACAATACTGTGTGCATTATTTGGATTACATCCAAAGAACATCAGAGCAGTAATCATGTACAGTATGTATAGCGAAATTATTTGAGAGGAATTGCAAAACAAAGACTGCAAATATTTTCATTTGCCAGGAAGAATAGAAATTCTATTCCTGTAAGCATAAAAAAATTCTTTTGTAAGGTTCTTTGAAAAATCTTTCTCTTTAAAACAATATTTAAAAAAATCACATTTTACATTTTACAATAGTTATCTTTTTTATTTCTGCAATTTATATGCTGCTCAATTTCAAGAAAGATTCTTGAGTGACTTACAATGATGCAAAAGACAATTAGGTGAGTTTAGGTAGAAAAGAAAGAAAAGAAAAATAACCAAACCCCCAAACCCAATGACAATCAATACTGTTTGTCAATAAGGATATTGTCAATAAGGGATTCAAATAGGAATATAATGTTTTTTTAAAATTGCTTGCTGCTATCTTATAGTGCTTAAGAATAAAATGAAAATGGAGAATAAGTCACTTTGTCTGTGCACTATGCCCTGAGCAGAAATGTAAGTCACATGCAGATGCCCATCTTACTTCTAGCTGCCATTTCCCTTTTGTTAGGGCACTAAACGTATAATCCTATAGAAATAATTATGTAATTTTTCCTTTTCCTTTTGTATATTGTAAGTTGCATATTATATGTTATATTATGTTTTAAAATTGTAATAAAAAGCAATAGTTATGAAGAATTATCAGGTTACATCTGTTTGTTTTACTATCTAAACCAGTGGTGGTGAACCTATGGCACAGGTGCCAGAGGTGGCACTCGGACCCCTCTCTGTGGGCACACGTGCCGTTGCCCCAGCTTTGCCTCCCCCTGCGACCCTCTTCTCCAGCAGCCCCCCTGAAGGAGAGTCGCCCCCGAGCGAGGCCCACATGGAGCAGCGCAGCCAAGGACATGGCAGCCAGGCAGCATAGACAAGACTCTGCCCTCACACCCCATCATGCAGTTGATGCTGCAAGGCGCGGGCAGAGGGTGTGGCCGCCATAGTGCTGCTGGGCTGCCTGGGTGATCTGCGGCGGGTCCTGGAGGCGATGAGTGGTCCTGTGGGCAGGCAGGGCGGGAGGCAGAGTGGGGGTGGGGCAGGGGGGTGGAGCAGGGACGGGGCCAGTTTTTGGGCACTCGGTCTCTAAAAGGTTTGCCATCACTGACTTAAACAATTCAAAAGGCATACCCAGGACAAACCATGGCTTCAAATTGTGGAACTTTTTTGCTAATCCTCTTCCAGTCTTCCTCCAAGAAAACTGGGTCTTGCTTCTCCAAGGTGGGAAATACCACAATACTTGACAAAAGAATTGTAAAATTCTTTAAGTTGCCTTTTCTGCCAAGAAACTTAGAACCTGAGAAAAATATTTTTTTTTCAGTGCAGGAGATGCTCTTTGAGCTGGGAGAAGTTAACTATGAAGAGTAAAGAAAGGTATGATACAATAAAATATTATAGTAAAATCTGGTGGATGCAGTTTGTTACTTTTTTAAAAAAGTATTGGTAAGGTTTTCTCTGGTTGAATATTTCAACAGGGAAAATAAGAGCCACAATAACTTTAGAAATACAAACACAATTCATAAAATTGCAGAGTTTTACGGAAAAAGGTTCTGCCGTTTTTCAACAATGACGGCATATGCACTTTTCAAAGGGAGCCTCTCTGTGACACTTGGCTTGCTATAATCCATGTAATCTTCAATTAAGGATGGAGTCCCACTTGGCTTGAAGTTGAGTCAAGATAATATGCAGCCATAAGATCATTTTGTTAAATAAATCCTCCTCTCCCATCATCACTTACTTCATGGGGATGGTGCTTCTCCTTCTCCAGATTTCTGTACTGCAGTTCCATGTCAGCCAGCCGATCTTGTAACAAATGTACAGTATTAGTCAAGCTATGATTCTGCCTCTTGCTGTCTGACAATGCCTGTCGCATGGTGTCAAAGCGATCCTGGAAAATATTATTATTATTATTGTTATTTAACCTGAAATGAAAGGAAAGAATAATTCAAGGACATTTGGTTAAATAATATAATGCTTGTAGCAGTTTTGCAGGTTTGATACAATTGCTGTTCGGAAGGTCCTGTGGATAGTCAATACTTGGAAAGCTGTGGGTCCTGATAATATCCATGGGTGAGTACTTAAGGAGTGTGCTGACCAGCTGGCTGCTGTTCTTATAGACGTCTTCAATCTCTCGTTGCATCAGGCCATGGTTCCATCATGTTTTAAAACTGCAATCATTGTACCAGTGCCCCCAAAAACTATAATCATATGCCTTAATGATTACTGTCCAGTTACACTCACTTCCATTATGATGAAGTGTTTTGAGAGATTGGTAAAAGACTATATGGTTTCATGCCTTCCCCCTACATTTGACTCATTACAGTTTGCCCATCAAGAGAACCGCTCTATAGAAGATGCATTTTCTTGTGTGCTTCATCTTAGCTTGGCGCAACTGAAGGGGAAGAATACTCATGTGCGAATGCTGTTTGTTGATTTTAGTTTGGCATTCAACACAATCATTCCTCAGCATCTGGTGAACAAACTGGGCCTATTAGATTTTAATACTCCTATACGTAATTGGATACTTGATTTCATTATTGATAAGTCCCAGTTTGTGCGAGTTGGAAAGAAAGTTTCCAACTCCATCTGTGAGTACAGGTTCCCCACAGGGTTGTGTCCTGAGTCCGCTACTGTTCACCTTGATGACCCACAATTGCTTTATTTTTGTCATATTTATGTAGTGTATACTGGAGGTGATAACCCTTTGAGCACTGTATGCAACGAAATTTCATTTTAATGTATGCCGATTAGTGTATGTTCAAAGTGACAATAAAGTTATTATTTTGTTCTATTCTGTTCTGTTCTAGTGATCATTTCCATGATTAAAGATAATCTGGCAAACCAGCCTGCCTCTTCCATTGCTTCCACCACAGCTCAGACCATTGGAAAGGAACAAACTGTACTGCAATATTAATGAAAAGTGTGGGGTTTTTTTCTTTGCACTGATATTCTTTCAGAAATTATTAGGAACAAACAAAATTAATTAGTCAGATCTTTAACTCATCCAGTTTATAACTGTTTATACTGATGGACAGCAACTTATAAGTTTCAGGAGGGGACCAGCTCTATCAGGAGATGCTAATAACTAAATTTGGGTCAATATGCATGCAAAGTATGTCTTCTACTACATACCTTCTTGGATATTTTAAAAGTTAGTAATCACGGTTTATGGTTTAAGACAAAGCACACTAACAAGACATCTGAATTTGGGTTATTGGAGAAAAAAAGAGCATGATATCAATGAAATTTTGAAAGGATGTTACATGTAGGAGATGCTGCAGGGGCTTACCAAACTGAATTTGGATTCTGATATCAGCTGTTTCATTTAAATACTTTTGAATGATTCAGTCATGGCTTTTTTTTCAAAGAAAGCAGGGGACGTGTAACAGTTACCCAGTATTGGAAAGGGACTGATTTGCACAGCACAATATTGCTGAACTTTAGATAGTAAGATACTTAATTGAGATGTGCAGGTAAGATGTGCAGGTAACTGAGTTTTCATACCTGGAGCAGCCGACGATCTTGCTCTGCAGCTGTCAGGGCCTTTTGGAGTTGTGAGATGTTCTCCTGCAGGGAGGACGTTCCAGCAGTAGCACTGGAGAGTGCCTGAGACAGAGTTTGTACCCGATCTTTGAAGTGACTTTCAGTGCCTTCCGTCCTGGCTAGCGAATGAGTCAGGTGGTCAAGCTCTCGTTGCAGTACTGCAGTTTTGTTTTCCTTTTCCCCTAATTGGCATCGAAGTTCTTGGATTTGCTCTAGCAGGGACTGGATTTCTTCATCCCTTGATGTCAAGCTCATTTGTGTTCGTTGTAACTCTCCTTCCACTGCTCTACGGCTCAGCTCCAATTTGGTGGCCCTGCTCTCTGCCGCTTCTAGAACTTCTTTTAGCTTCCATTTTTCTGTTTCCAGTTTGGCTTCCTTGGTTTTAAAACCTTTGACTTTTTCCTATAATGTAAAAACATCTTGAACACCAAGCTTGGGAGAAGAGCAGCTAACTTTGTGGACTGGCCACCAAAGCCAGGTGAAATCAGAGCCTTACTACAAAACTACCACAGTAGAATCCTAGAATGTAAAAGTAGAAGAACCTTTAGACCCTATCAATGCCTCCTCTCCTGCAAAACATGTGTAGTAGCGACGACCTTGGATTAAATTATGGGAACATCTTATATCTAGGAGTGCTACTACAGATGTCATTTAAAGCCTCATTCTGCTGACTATTGGCACTACTGGCACACCACTGAATAGCTAGTCAAAGAACAAAGACTAGTGCAATGCCCACTCATCTAACAATGAGAACACTAATTCAGAGAACCTGGTCTTTACCCACTCCAGATGGATATTATCCGTATGGGCTGTCTCCCAGTAGAGGCAAAAGTGAGGGTGAAGGTTCGTTCTCTGAGCTTGTGGGTTAGTTTCTGAATGTTTCGTTACCAGGCTAGGTAACATCTTCAGCATGAAAATGTTACCTAGCCTGGTAATGAAATGTTCAGAAACCAACCTACAAGCTCAGAGAATGAACCTCCATCCTCATCTTACACCAGAGGCAAAAGTCTCTCCACTCAACCTTTTTCTTTTAATGTATTTGGGAGGCTCTTTGCAATTTTGGGATCTCTCCTTGCTGCGGATTTGTTGCCCCACTGACCTGTCCTCTCAGAGTTTTTTGGCCACTAGTAGGTACCTTGGGCTTCTACTTTTAGGAAGTTGCTGGACTAGCCATGGAGAACCTAGATATGGCAACAGTTTGTGTTGCTAAATACCTTTGCTACCTAATCTGGCTAATACGTTCTCTTTGTGGATTCTTTACAAACCATAAAAACGACAACATAATAAACGTTACCCACTAGTAATTGAGAGAGGACATAATTCCTAACGGTTAAGGTTTTAGGAGTTGCAATTCTCTTTGGCTACACAGTACAAGGAAGAGCAAGTGTGACCTTGGATTTGATAGTTCTAAAACTGTGTGCAGTGCACTGACATAATCTCTTAATTTTAAAGATGAAGAGGGAGTAAAATATGAGTAGTAAAATTATAAAGGTTTGAATATATCAGATCAAAACAAGAATATAAGATGTAATAAACAGGAATTCAATTAGGAAAAAGGAGAAATGGCGGGAAGTTCTGTGTTAATTAAAAAAATGAGCAATAGATGCAAACATAATTGAAATAAATTAACTGCAATATATTTTTAGAAATATTTAAAATTTACATCAATATTGTTCTTTTTTTCATTTTTTTTCAATTTTTTATTAATTTTCAAATAAACAAATTCTAAATACAAATATGGTGTACATTAATAAAAAAAACATATTAAACATAACCATATTTTCAGAGGTGCTCGGCAGCCCCCCCCTGCATCCGCCCTCTCTTTCACCCTTCCTACCTACTTCCCTCCTCCTCTCCTCCCCTCCTACCCACACCTCCTCCTCTCTTTCAACTACCCTACACATCCCACCTCCTTCCTTTCCTCATCCTTTGGATGCAGTCTGGGGGTGCTAATCGAGCACCTCCTCTTTAAAAAAATAAAATAAAATAAAATACATTATTCTATAACATATTAATACACCAAATTTTGCATATCTCTACCCCCCACATCCCCCCCTTTCCCCCCGGACTTCCCAGAACTGAGTACAGGGATAAGCACATATCATCACATATCTAAATAATACTACCCAAACATAATACAATCAAGTTAGATCAAATTAGAACACAAAGCGCTCCATGGCATCGGACCTGGATATCTCCGAGACCGCCTTCTGCCGCAGGTTACCTCCCATCGGCCGGTACGCTCCCACAGAGTGGGTCTCCTCAGGGTGCCGTCAGCCAGACAGTGCCGGCTGGCGACCCCCAGGGGGAGGGCCTTCTCGGTGGGAGCCCCCACCCTCTGGAACGAACTACCCCCAGAGATC